ACATGTTTAGGATTATAACCTACTGTAGAACATTTTGGCTTTTTTTTGGTCATGGGCGTGATTACAACTCTGAGATCGCGGGACAATCAGGACTGGAGGACAGAAACTGGAACTAGAGGGGACGACCTGAATTGAGAACGATATTTTGGATTGTAAGCCCTCATCACAAAAATCCTACAAATAAGACTGGAGTGAGTGGGAATCACACACATGAGCAGACAGTGTACGGAGGACGGAAATCATGTTTTCCGTTCTCCAAGCTCCATGGAGGTTCCGCCATCATTAGGCATGACATGACAGCCAGAAGACAGGAGATAGAGGATAGGTGGCAACAGGACATAACAGGACAGTTTAGCGCACGAGGCAGGATGAGGAGCACAGGGCAGGAGATGATTGGGTAAAATCTTGAAGTACGCTGAGCAGCAGCCGTCATGGGGACTTAACGACGCACTCAGCTGCTGAGGCTATATTGGCGTCGCCTGCCTCCCACCCTGGCAGGAAGGGCGAGCACCACGGGGAATTAAACCCCATACCACTGGCTTCCCTGACGTGCAGTCATTAACGCAGACGCGTTAACCACTGCACTATCGGCGCCTTGGGGGTAAACCGGCAGATAATATAGGTCAAGACAGGAGTTATAACTCCGGAGGAGTTATAACTCCTGGCCATTATATCCGGAAATCGTCCTCACGGGCTCCAGATATGAAAGACTCAGCAATTATGTTTTTCTTGGCATTGATCACCGCATGACTAATGGAATGTGCAGGATTTTAATGTCGATATTATAGCGCCATACACACTGGAGTTACCTTGAAATAGTCTCCTTGAAACAGTCTCCACATCTTGGTGACCAACGGGTCAAAAAACTAGAGGGCTTTATTTCTTAAGAAGGGCAGGGCTGTTAACTACACCGAATGACCTTCAACATGGCTGTTTTAGCTTAAAAAAAACAATACAAATGTCGAGTGCTACCTTTAATCATTTTCGTTCTCTCTTTCAAGTCACGAGCCATGTCCATGTGCCGAGTATACACGCAATAGACTGACGACCTCAAGTCCCAGGGGTGTAGCTTCCTATTTAGCAGCAGTCTACCCTCCCCCACACTTAGACTCCGGCCTCCCCAAATTTGCGAAGAATGTGGGCAAACTCGCAGAAAACCCCGTTTAGGGGCGTGCTTTAGGGGTGCGGCCTCTTAAATTTTAACTGTTCAGAGCCCCGCTCTCCTGCCAATCCATGTTGCGAAACACGCCCTGTCACGTGATCTGCATCGAGTGGCATCAATAATTTTGTGCCGTCTTATGGTGCTTACTAGGCACACTTAAGATAAACACAAATGTCTCACGTATGAGGTTTCCCCCTCGAACTTTGAGAAGAGAACAGGCTAAATTCGTGGAGGAACCTATTTGCTGTCGTGATCTGGTGGCAATAGAGGCTATTTCTCACTTTTCAGCAGCTCAACTCCACCAGATAATTTTGTAAAACTACGCCGATATTGCTTGTACAGCTTGTTTTTGATGAATCATTTAGCAATCATGACGTGCTATTTTGCCCCCACACTCTTCACTGCTCCTCGCCATCAATGACCCTTATATGGGCAAGAACGTCATTTATGTCGAACTGCAAGCGCTTGTTTGCGGGGAATCCGGTGGAGATGATCTGACCTCAGCCGTGCACTTGAAAGCACTTAGAGTTTTACATGTACATTTCACTCGCCTCCTTCAGCATCATTGCCCTCTGATCTTCAAGCTGACTTCAAGAACACTTACTTCTATGCTGCCACCGTGCCGTTGCGCTATTATTATGGGGCCTTGCCTGCCACCCGTCGCGCGCCCGTAGCTATAGTATATAGCAGTATGTTTATGTTTGGCATTCTGCTTATCTATCAGCTCAGCGATAAAACTTCGCAGTTCGTAGCCTTGCATCAGCTTTTCTCCACCAGTGGCGTTTATTATGTATACCGAAATAAATGCGCTCTATTGACTCATCTGTACTGCCATTTGAAACAGACTCGTATTTACTCTGTACCGAGACCTTGTGAAGACCGATTTTTGGAACAAAATAAGCAGGCAACCTGTATGTACGTGTACGCAGAAGATATAAGCTAGATGCTTAAGTGTCTGGTGCTCAAATAAACGTCACAAATAATGATTGTGATGTTTGGTAATTTTTCTAGGGTAACAGTTGCATGAGAAGCTGTGGTTTTAAAAGCACAAAGGGGGTTTTAAGTGACGTTGGTTGAGAATTCTTGTCAAATAGGGACTGTTAGTGAGCCCCTCGCCGATAAGGCTTCCTTCGACCTTACTCTAAACGCTAACCGGACGGGGTCGCATGCGAGGCGTCAGAGGCCGCTTTCACTCGGTTGTAGCATGTCTTAGTCTTCGAGGTAGCAGGGGATTTGTGGATGTGGTGGCCGGCTGACCGGAGGAATTAAACAAGAAAAAAACCCACGTACCCGGGGGTGTCTGGTGTACGGCTCACGCCGATGCTAACAACACCAGCCGCCGTTGCCAGAACATTGGAAAATGACGGATATGCTAGGACCCGTAGTAGGAAATGCGTGATATGATTCAGGGGTAGGGAAAGCGGAAGTTCTTTGCGTTTTCTGCAGCGAGCCACTATGAAGTGCGATGGGTTTATCCTGAGATGCCTGTTAACGTTTTCTGCAAGTATCTGAACGTTTTGAGGCTGGCAAATTTTTTCAGAGGAGCTGAAAGTTATAACGAAGAATTATCAATCGTGAAAACGAATAAGGTTTGAATCGCTTTCGCAGCTGGCCACGTGAAACCGCTGCTGTGCGAGGTCATCATGACCTGTGGCCAACCGAAACCAATCGTTGCGCGCAAACGAACGCAAATTCAGTCGCTCTAGACGTAGCACATGACAATTTCGTATGAAAACGTATTGCAGCCAGTCAGCTATGTTGCCCACAAGTTGCCAGCTTTATAACAAACTAAGCAAAACTCGCCCGTCCAGCGGCCTTATTCCTTACGAGTGGCGACATATTTCCAAGTCCGTATATCTTACTCAAATTCACCAGAAATTGATACAGCGCATGCAATTTAGCGATAACGGGATCGTCGCCGCCGGCTGCAAATGGAGCCCCGCGGCTGCTCCGTCGGCCGTGCCGCCATTGCTGGTGCGGATTGGCTGACTTTCCGGCGCCGGACTGGCTCCGAAGACCGCCAAGGGCGACGTCCTGTCAGGTGCACTATGGCGCCGGCCTCGAATAGCAGCCAGGGCAGGAATGCCACCAGCACTGCAGCGTTCGTCGGCCGTCCTAACCGTTCTCGGTAGGGCCTCCGTCCTAACCGTGCTCGGTAGGAATCGCCGTCCTACCGTTCTCGGTAGGATCGCCGTCCTACCGTTCTCGTAGGATCGCAGTCCTACCGTTCTTGGTAGGATCACTGTCCTACCGTTCTCTACGGTGACCCATGTTTACGCCTGCCGGCTGGGCCTCTGCTTATGGCCATCACTTTAGGTTCAACAGGGCAGTGCATGTCGCGAAAAAAAAAACTAGCGCGTGATCAGCGGACAGCGACGAAACCGGCTCGTAATCGTCCACGGGATGAATTCGGCGCGTGGTCATTGATAAGTCCGGCGCCGTGACGGCCGACTGTCGACGATAACAGCACGTTGGCGGCGAAAACAGCCGCGGGCGACGGCCGTCGCCCGCGGCGGCGTCCTCCAGCGGCGTCCGGCCGCGCGTCCCACCCCAGCCGGCGGCGCCTCCGGGGGTGTGCTGTCCTGAGCAGGATGTGATCTTGGCTGTGTGCATTCACTGCCCGCGGATATATTTGCTTGGTGAAGTGAAAGAATTTAAGGTAGGATTGGCATGGTGGTTTTTTTCTTTGACATAACGTGCGTCACAGTTTTCATAAAACGGTTTCAGTCGCTAATTTACAGGCGAATACAAACGACGAGTTCCGAGAGCACTTACACTTTTTGCTCTTTACGACCTCTTACCTGAACAGGCTTACCCAAGCCAGTTATGGAGCTGCACAATGGGTTGGCGAGTTCACGAAACCACTGGACTCTGACAGCCTCATATGCGAACGGCGGCTGAGGTGATGGCAAACCAGTGCTGCTTCAGTCCTATTTGGTTTAATGATGGACCCACGTCTGTAATACAGAGAGAGAGAGAGAGAGAGAGAGAGAGAGAGAGAGAGAGAGAGAGAGAAGAGAGAGAGAGAGAGAGAGAGAGAGAGAGAGAGAGAGAGAGAGAGAGAGAGAGATAGAGAGAGAGAGAGAGATAGAGAGAGAGAGAGAGAGAGAGAGAGAGAGAGTATACATATATAATATATATATATATATATATATATATATATATATATATATATATATATATATATATATATATATACTGCTGCTTTACTGTGCGGGAACTTGGGAAAATTGACGGTCTCTCGTAATCGGGATGAAACTCCTGATAAATAGCCCCCGCCCGGTAAAAACTGCGAGAAGAGAGTTCGTAGCATGGTAACAAAAGCTCGTGATGGGGAGAGTCTACCGAGTGGCAACCATAGACGGTGAACACTGGCTCGTATCATTGGGTGATGATATCGTCGTCATGCCATTACGTACATCGGATGTTTGGCGCCATGAGAGTTCGAGGGCGCTGAATGCCAGGAGAGCAGGAGAGCTACCAATTTAGGTCCGTAGAACCAATGGCAACCGACCAGATATTGTCCCGTCTAAAAATGGAAGAATACAACAACAAATCTAGACTGCTGGAAATACAAACAGACGAATCAGCACAAAAGGATGTCGTCTGATAGTAATTTGTTGATCTTTTTATGGTACCAGTCATGTGACGAAGTGAAGATACTTGGCCTCAGCGACCCGAAATAATACAACAGCGGCTAGCTCAGCTGTCTGCGGCTATGAAGGCCTCGGCACCGCCCCGTCCCTTGCCTTGAACCGCGCCTCCCTCCCTCCTCACTGTGTGGCGAACACTCCTTCCCAGAGAACGCTGCAGCTAGCCACACGCTCTATCGTTGCAGACAGCAACTTCGTGCTGGGCAATGCCAAGGTGTCGTCGACGTTCCCGATCGTGTACTGTTCGGACGGCTTCTGCGAGCTGACGGGGCACGCTCGCGCCCAGATCATGCAGAAGGGGTGTGCGTGTCGCTTCCTGTACGGCCCGGACACGGCCGAGGAACACCGCCAGCAGATCGAGCTGTCGCTCGAGAGCAAGACTGAGCTGAAGCTCGAGGTCATGTTCTACAGGAAAAACGGTAAGTCTGCCAGGCGGGCGCCAGTGGCCGCTGGTGACTGGGTATGGTGCTTTGCATCAAATCTGTTCAGGCGGGAGAGTTCTAACGCAATTGATCAGGAAGTACCGTTGTGACCGGTACAATGTTATCTTACGCCGGCTGCAAGAGCATAGCTATAGTTTTTTTTTTTTTAGTCGAACCTGGGCGTTAATGTAGATGGGCGTTGGTGTAGTCATCGTGCTTGGCACTTATTGCTTGGATTTTTTGTTCAGAATTCAATGCATCATTTCTAATTATAATAATAAACCGACTTACCTGAAAAGTGCCGTAATATATGGCTAGCATGCTGAACGTGCATGCTATTTACGTAGTTCATTTTCTCACTTCTCAGTAGGGAGCGACGCGGCCCTTTTTGGCTTCCTAATGACCGTGTCAAGTTCCTTTGCCGCTTCTAGGCAGGGGAGGCGCTTCTGGTCACCAATTCATGGACGATTCCGTAGATAAGAAAACAAAATGGCCGGGCCACTCACATGGCGGCCCTGTGTTCGCTGATGTACGCCTGCATCCACCGCGACGCGGTGTTTTAGGCTCGCCCTTCTGGTGCCTGCTGGACATCGTGCCGATCAAGAACGAGAAGCGGGAGGTGGTGCTCTTCCTGGCGTCGCACAAGGACATCACGCCGACCAAGGTGGCGCAGATGTCCTCCTTGCCGTATGAGGAACCCGAGGAGGAGCGGTTGTGCGGCGACGGAGAGCACGGTACGTCACGGGTGACTCTGACGAGAGCACGGTGCGTCACGGGTAACTCCGACGAGAGCACGGTGCGTCACGGGTGACTCTGACGAGAGCACGGTGCGTCATGGGTAACTCCGACGAGAGCACGGTGCGTCACGGGTGACTCTGACGGGAGCACGGTGCGTCACGGGTGACTCTGACGGGAGCACGGTGCGTCACGGGTGACTCTGACGGGAGCACGGTACGTCACGGGTAACTCCGACGGCAGACGGTACGTCACGGGTAACTCCGACGGCAGCACGGTACGTCACGGGTAACTCCCGACGGGAGCACGGCGCGTAACGGGTAACTACCGACGGTAGCACGGTACGTCACGGGTAACTCCGACGGGAGCACGGTGCGTCACGGGTGACTCTGACGGGAGCGCGGTGCGTCACGGGTGACTCTGACGGGAGCACGGTGCGTCACGGGTTACTCCGACGGGAGCACGGTACGTCACGGGTAACTCCGACGGTAGCACGGTACGTCACGGGTAACTCCGACGGGAGCACGGCGCGTAACGGGTAACTCGGGCGCGGGTACGGTGCGTCAGCGAAACTTTGACGGGGGCACTGTGCTTCACGGGTAACTTGGAAGGGGAGAAGGGTGCGCCACGCACTGCGCCTTCCGGCAGACACGGCGACGTGTGTCAACCTGCTCGAATTGGTCTGCTCTTGGATGTACTGGCTGATTATCCTCTGGTTTTAAAAGAACAGAGAACGTCCAACGTAAAATGGTTCGGGGTCATTTACTTGAATGATTTTTAGTTATGGCATGGAACGAGGCGCGATCTCGCGAATCCCATAATTTTCTTGATCATAGCGCGGCTGAGGGCTCCAGTCCCTCCCCGTGGACACGCCTCGGGGAGCGGCCCTAAGGCCAACCATCGCCTCAACGGAGATCAATGCTGCTGGCCACGATCAATGAGTGTCTGCGCGTTGTTGGCACATTACTGATTGTGCGTTGTCATATGTAAATACGAATCGTGGCAAAAACAAACCGCATACTTTTTCCATTTTCAGGCATATGCGGGAATATTAATGCAAACTTCTCACATTCTGCCTGCAGTTGATATCTGTTGTTACGTTACCACCTTTGCCTTTCGCTGTCATTTTTCCTCCAGTCCCGTGCAGTTAGAAAACGAAGCACGTTCCCTTGAGCAGCGGCTTGATCTGCTCTTGTCCCGAGGACGATTGGGGGGGGGGGGGCAGCGCGTGATCCGGGTCCGCCCTGAGTACGGTTCGACCTCTCAGATCCGAACGGTAACGAGCTGGACGTGGAGGCTCCGCCGATCAAACTACCAGCGGCGTCGGTCCCGCGCCGTGCTCTACCAGCTGTCCGGACACTACACCCAGGAGAGGAAGTCCAAGATCAAGCTCAATAACGTAAGACCGCCGCACGCTACGTCGGCCGCCTGGGGGTAGTTCAGTTCAGTGGCAGCACTCGCGGGTGGTGATGATTGTGGGTCGGGCCATGGGAGTCGCCGAAGGTTGGAGTTTCATGGTCTGCTCATTTGGACCAGTTGGTGTCTGTGAGGATGATGTGGTCACGCGAGTTGGTGTCTGTGGGGATGATGTGGTCACGCGAGTTGGTGTCTGTGGGGATGATGTGGTCACGCGAGTTGGTGTCTGTGGGGATGATGTGGTCACGCGAGTTGGTGTCTGTGGGGATGATGTGGTCACGTGAGTTGGTGTCTGTGGGGATGATGTGGTCCACGCGAGTTGGTGTCTGTGGGGATGATGTGGTCACGCGAGTTGGTGTCTGTGGGGATGATGTGGTCACGCGAGTTGGTGTCTGTGGGGATGATGTGGTCACGCGAGTTGGTGTCTGTGGGGATGATGTGGTCACGCGAGTTGGTGTCTGTGGGGATGATTGTGGTCACGCGAGTTGGTGTCTGTGGGGATGATGTGGTCACGCGAGTTGGTGTCTGTGGGGATGATGTGGTCACGTGAGTTGGTGTCTGTGGGGATGAAGTGGTCACTGCGAGCCGCTGCGGTCGATGTTACAGTCACTGCTGCAGCCGGGGTCTACAGCACCCTTGCCCGAGTACAAAACTTGCGGTCGATGTTACAGTCACTGCTGCAGCCGGTGTTTACAGCACCCTTGCCCGAGCACAAAACTCGCGGTCGATGTTACAGTCACTGCTGCAGCTGGGGTCTACAGCGCCCTTGCCCGAGTACAAAGCTTGCGGTCGATGTTACAATCACTGCTGCAGCTGGGGTCTACAGCGCCCTTGCCCGAGTACAAAGCTTGCGGTCGATGTTACAGTCACCGCTGCAGCCAGGATCCACAGCACCCCCTGCCCGATTACAAAACTTGCGGTCGATGTTACAGTCACTGCTGCAGCTGGGGTCTACAGCACCCTTGCCCGAGCACAAAACTTGCGTTCGATGTTAAAGTCACTGCTGCAGCCGGGGTCTACAGCACCCTTGCCCGAGTACAAAACTTGCGGTCGTTGTTACAGTCACTGCTGCTGCAGCCGGGGTCTACAGCACCCTTGCCCGAGTACAAAACTGTGTCAGCCAAACGATCGAAGTTCGTCCTCTCTCATTATGGTGAGTGCTTCAGGCAACTTGCGGTAAGTGGTTCCGTCAACTTCTGCTCCGCTGCCGTAACCGGGGCTGATAAGATTCTCATTTTTTAAGCCTCTTAATATACTGACTGAAGCTTTAAACCAATGGTTTTTAATTGACGACGGGTGATGCCTGAAATCCAGCCCATTTGAGACTGTGAGTAAACGCATGAGATGCAGCAAAATTTGTGAAACGGGCTGGTCGTTCTCTGGTGGGGCCAAATTCGTATTTATTTGCTGTATTGTCCGAGGACATCAACCCGAAATTCACACTTACCACAAATTTATCAGCTGTACTGCGGCTTGACTACATGAAGTATCTGTACAAGTCTGAGTTAATTCAGCTTCACAACAGCACGGCAAGGAGTGCGACAGACACCATGTTGGTATGACAAGAGCGGACAATGGCGAGCGGCTGTGCCCGACTTCACCCGGTACTAACATTGTCCCCGCGAGCACTATAACACTGTTTGGGAAATCCGTACAAGATATGCCAGGGACTGGGCCAGGAAGACTTTTGTCATTCGAGAGAGCCGAATGCACCTGCCGTGATTTGGCCGCGGAACAAGCCTGGGCGTTACGCGACGTGGCTTGGCAGAACAAACTAGGATTTAATCTTAGGATATGCAGATATTTTCCCGCTTTAGGAGACATGGTGAATTGAATGAACGATGGAGATCAGCATGCTGAAAAGTATTATCTTTGTTTGGTCCGTATATTGAAGTCATTCTTGCAACATTTGATGCCGCCGCTCTTAAAAACTGTTGCGAATTGTGCGCCAAGGCATTCGTTAAGATTTTCGCCAAGGGTCAAGTTTCCCGACATTTTGAAACGTGGTTGCGAGCGCACGGGCTGAGGTCGGTTTTCTACTTGAAAAAATGATCGTCGCTTTGCTGGCCCTGCTAATCGCGCCCTGCACCCTAACCTAACTTCCACTACCAAACCACACCTAACTAACAACCACCTAACTTCTGTCCAAATTGGGAAACCTCGGTGTTCATAGCTTCCATGTAGTCTTCTTGCACTCCTTTCCGACGTATGGAGGAAATGCCCTGTGGATATTACCATGGCACGGGCTTGTTTGCCGTTTTGTCCTCTGGCTTTAACTTCGTGGAAGTGCTCTGGTTCTCCCCAGCTTCTCCTATGATATCTGCCGTCATTTCTGAATTTCTGACAGACTGCCGCTCTTGCAGGAATTTTTAAGTCCTGCTGGGACTGGCTGATCCTCGTCGCCACGTTCTACGTGGCCGTGGTTGTGCCGTACAACGCCAGCTTCGTCATGGATCGTGACAGGCCGTCGGTGGTCAGCGATGTCGTGGTGGAAGCGCTGTTCCTCATTGGTGAGTGTTTTGGCACTTGCACCAACACCAACAGACGCGCCTCACACATCTCATCGGCTCACTGCGGTGCGTCGATAGGGAAACGGAGAGTGAGAAAGCTAGCGCTTGACCCAAACTGCACATACGTGGTGCTAAATGCAGGTTTGTGGTGAGGTAAATGACATATTTAGCTACGTCTACGTTCTACTTTAGAGGGAGGGAAGAAAACACTTTGAAGTCAAAAGCAGGAAGTAAAAAAACTTCTGATGGCTGCTGTTTAATGTAACATGCAAAAAGACCCGCTTCATTTGCTTGCATTTTGATTTATTTCACTTTTTCTTTGTTCGGAGCACCGTGACGTACTCATTTTCTTTTGATGCGGTGATGTAAGACTATGTTATGGCTGGGCTGCGGGTGGGTCACTCCTGATAGCTTGATCATTGGTGATAGAAATAAAGAAAATACATTTGGAAAAACTGCGGCAGAAACACGTTTACTATCAGTGGCATCGATGTCTGTAGATAATGGGAAAGGGGAGGGACCTCTGACCTCTGTTTACTATGCCCGCGTTCAGCCATTATTGGTCCGCCAACAATGGTGCTAAATATCGTCTGTTGGGGCCAGTTGCCAGTCCGGCATGAGATGCAGTCTTGTTACATCAGTTTGAATATCGCATGGCTGGATATCCGAGCGCGGCGGCAGGACATTATGAACAGCGCGGCATGGACACGAGGTGCACCGGGCAGGGGAACCTTTCTTCGACGTTGGTGGCCAGTGAGCATCACGTGCCTGCTGCCGGTGTCCGAGATAGGCGCCGCGGTGTAACATCGCAGCGGCGGGAGCTATGTACAACCAAACGGCACGGTACTGGGGTGTGTGGGTGTGGTCCGCGTGGGCAGCGGCCATCACCATTGACAGGGGTGTGCAACTTGCATACTTATCGTGCGTTGTGCTGCAGACAGGCTCTGTAGTCGGCAGTCGTCGGCTTCCGAGAAAACTTGCTCCACCGATGTCTAACAGTTTCGGATCTGCTATCCAACTTGAACGTTCTTCAAGTTCCCGGCATTTGTTTTTTTGGGACATTGCTGCTGCCTTCGCGTTTGCAGAGGTCTGAGATTTGTGGATCAAACCGCCGGCTCAGAAACAGCATGGATGCCTCACTCCGCCTGGATCTGCAGTGGTCCTATACCTTTAGCCATAGTGTATCACAGTCCTTCACCAGCTGCTGAGCCCTGTGCTAGACTGCTATCGGAATAACTTCGTCAGCGCCGTCCTGGGCAGCCGAGGTCGCCCAGGTTCGTATTGCCGCCGCAGCTGTGCAATGCAGTCTAGTGTTCCCTGTCGTCGTGACATACGAATGCATGCATGCGTATGGTTAGCATACTGCTCGCTATACATCAAGAGTTCACAACGCTTGGCTACCGATCGGATGCCGCATGGGATCACCCTGGGATCACCTTCGACGTGAGGACACGATCACCGGTGCCAAAATACACACCTTACGTGTCAGACTCGCGGTAGCCGCAGGTCAGACTTGTGGCGGGTGTCTCTTCGCTGGCGTGGCTGGTGTACTACGTATGGTCAAGCCTTTCGGGTTAGGGGGCACAGCCGGTCGGAAAGCCAGGGAACGCCTCCACCTTTGTGCGAAACGTTGTCTGGGCGAGTGATGTGTGGCGAATGCGACGTCTTTTCCCAAAGCACGCAACTTTTGCACCTGTGTGCGGTCTCGCATTAGGATCAAACGAATCGTTTTTTTTTCAAAGGGCAGAAAGATAGAGGAGGAGGAGGAGGAGGAGAGAGAGAGAGAAAGAGAGAGAGAGAGAGAGAGAGAGAGAGAGAGAGAGAGAGAGAGAGAGCGAGAGAGAAAAAGAATGTGTGAGAGAGAGAGGGAGAGAGAGAAAAATGAGAGCGGAGAGAGGGAGAGACAGTGAGAGGGAGAGAGAGATATAGCAGGCATTCATAGTTGTGCCCTGTGCGGAAACGGAATCAGAACAAAAACAAAACGTGATCGTTGTGTTAAGTGTGAGGTGAGTCGGCTCAACGTGCAATGCTGATCAGAACAGAGTCGGAATTAACCTCATGTGTTGCAAGTCTAAGTCGAATGCATTCTGCTGCAGCGGAATAAGCTCAAACCTTGCCGTGGTAAATGGAGGTCCCTGTTTTTGGGTGTGCAGAATTCTTTGTTTTCGCCTGTGGAGCCCCCACTCTCGGACTGCGAGTCCCTGTCGGCGGCCCGTCCACTCACCGGTGCAAGCGTTGGCGTTCGTATGTGGGCCGGCAACGCTTAGCTGCGGCTCGTGGAGCCCCAATCACCGGGTGGACTCCTCGGGCCCGGCGCCGGTTTGTCACGTTTCTCCCGCCGCAGCTGAACGCCGGCTGGCAGCGTTTTTCAGAGTGCCGTTTGGCCGTTTCGCAGCCGGTGCGGACGCGCCCGACCCGCGCGGTATGATCGATAGACGACGGGCTGGGCGTGAAGGCTGCGACACCTCGCGTAATCACACACGGCTTTGGGCGTGGGCGCAGCGCCGCCCGACAACGGCCTGGCGCCGCGATGATGAGCGGTCTCCAGGCGATCCGTTGTCGCTGCGGGCGGCGGGGACCCTGGACACCACCGTGTCCCTCGACGGCCGCTGCTGAATAACGAGGTGGGAGGGACGTGGAGCGGTGAGGGGACCTGCCGAGACAGAAGACGGCCGTGCGGTGGAAGTGGCGAAAGGATGCGTTCTGAATTACCGGGTGGAACTGGTGATAAAAAGAAACTTTGTTTGCCAATCGACCGGAAACAAAAGTCGAAAATTGGGACAACTATTATCAAAGCTCCCAAGCGATCCAGACCACCCAACTCTTCAAGCTGAACACTGGTCTCTTCTTGCCAAGTCTCGCTAGAGTGAGCTGATCTGAAGTGCGTGACGGTACATCAACTCTTGGGCCTGTGAGCGACTGAGTTTAGATATGCCTATAAATATACTTAACTTCATCAATCAAATTTCAGTGAGAATTCAGTACTGGTTTCATACTGGAGCGGCAACTGGAGGAGCGTAGTCATGATAAGATGGTCGCTAGGTTGGAATTTTTCACTGATTTTTGCTCAGCCAGAACTTGCTGAGGCTTAAACAGTACAAAGGGTCAAATAACTAGAATGATTCGCGAAAGTTTTGTCAAGAACAAGGCGAGTCACTCAACAGATGCCGCTGCAGCGCGGCATTTGCTTGCGCTGTTTCTAACAACTTGCTTTTCAAATACATTAACAATTTTTAACTTATGCCAGCCAATTACAATTTATCCAACTTTACTTCCTTACAAAAATCATGTAAACCCCTGCAGAATATTTCTAGCCAAAAACAAGATAAGGGTTGGTGGCTAGAAAACAACGCTGAAACTTTGTTAAAAGTTTAAGAAAAGTTTTGCGCCGTAATCCTTCGTCAAAACACCTGTCATTGCCCTTCTTTCTCGGAGGTACGCTTTTGTCTTCAATGTGTATGTGATAAGGCAACAGTGGCCTACTGTGCGTCATGATTGCTTTCCTCAAGCTGCATGCAACGCCGGTGTGTCATTAGAGGGAATTTGAAGACATCTTCCTCAAACCTTGGTAGCTCGACTCCACTCGATTCGATTCCACCCGATATTACATGTCACGAGTGCATTATAAGATGATGACAACAATCAGGCACCGCACTGTGGCGCGGCCGCAGCCTCCCATGTTTCCAGTCGCCTCTGACGTTCGTGGCCAACTTTCCCTAATCCAGCAGCGCCGCCAGCTCGTCCACAGCGAACTCCTACTGCAGACACTTCATCAGCCGGTTATAACGTCAGTGACAGAGAGACAACACCTGATTGTATTTGTCATAGAAGGTGTCCGTTTGTGGGCGTAAATTGACCACATCTATGGAGTAAGTCAGGTGGTTGATTGTCTTGGTTGCTAGCTGGAGCAGGAATAATAATATCGTGCTTACAGTACTAGCAAAGCACATGTAGCTCTCATCAGCCCATCTGGTCGCGAGGGAACAATTTAGCCGTTTTGAACTTGACCAGTGTTAGAAAACACCGTTATTCCCGAGCGGTCGGTACCTTGGAGCTCTGTTAATGCTGACCCGTGTGAGCAGTGCTGGGCGCCCATGTACCATACGCGGCCCATACGGGCCATACGCGTGTTCGTAGGCAGAGCTGGCTTCGGCCGAGCGAGCTCACACATTAGTGTGTGATACGGGAGAAGTGAGACCACCGGTCAGGCGCAGGTGCGGCACCCGGGGTACAGCCGGGTCACCAGCGGGGCTACATGTCATCCCCATTAGCGCTCTGTACGGAGCAGCGCCGCGCCGCATTCTGAGTGCGGTTATGAGCATGGCCACCTCGTGCGCGGGACGCGTCAGGAGGCAGCCGTGGGTCCCTCAGCGGCGGGGCGCGGAGGCAGCGGTGGCGTCCCTCAGCGGCGGGCGCCGGGAGGCAGCGGTGGCGCCCCTCAGGAGCGGGCGTCAGGAGGCAGCGGTGGCACCCCTGGGGAGCGGGCACCAGGAGGCAGCGGTGGCGTCCCTCAGGGCTGGCGTCAGGAGGCAGCGGTGGCGTCCCTTAGGGGCGGGCGCCAGGAAGCAGCGATGGCGTCCCTGAGGAGCGGGCGCTAGGAGGCAGCTGTAGCGTCCCTCAGGGGCGGGCGCCAGGAGGCAGCGGTGGCGTCCCTGAGAAGCGGGCGCCAGGAGGCAGCTGTAGCGTCCCTCAGGAGCGGGCGCCAGGAGGCAGCGGTGCCGTCCCTTAGGGGCGGGCGCCAGGAGGCAGCTGTAGCGTCCCTCAGAAGCGGGCGCCAGGAGGCAGCGGTGGCGTCCCTGAGGAGCGGGCGCCAGGAGGCAGCTGTAGCGTCCCTCAGGAGCGGGCGCCAGGAGGCAGCGGTGCCGTCCCTTAGGGCGGGCCAGGAGGCAGCTGTAGCGTCCCTTAGGGGCGGGCGCCAGGAGGCAGCTGTAGCGTCCCTTAGGGGCGGGCGCCAGGAGGCAGCGGTGCCGTGCCCTAGGGGCGTGCGCCAGGAGGCAGCG